TAAAAATAAAAAATAAAAATAAAAAATAAAGATGACCAGTAAGGGGATCTTAACCCTTGACTTGGTGTGGTCAGCACCACGCTCTCCCAAGTGAGCCATGGGCCAGCCCCCCCACTACAATTTTTTCATGATTTGGTACCAGTGTTTGCTGGTGACAGTGGCAGTGTGTCAGGGGCACTTCTCCCAACACATCAATTGGATCAAGTGTCCAGTCATTCATAAGTTGGTGTTTTTCAATGTTATCCCTAACACTTTGACAGCTGCTTTAGCTGTGCCTTAGGCCTTGCGGAGTTGGCCTTTACTTCCTCAGCCATTCAGGGTTTGATGGTGAGAAGGTTTGGGAGGCACTGTGAGGATTAAGAGAATGATCGAATAAATGAAGCAAGGGTGAATGGTGGGGACAAAGAAGGGGGATACTCAGGTCTAAGTCGCAACTTTTCCTGGTGGTGTCCCCAGAGACAGCTGGTCTCCCTTTGCCCCATTTCCACCCTCGTCGTTGAGCACCCGTGCTTATGCTCAACACTACCCTCTTGGCCCCCCGTCCGTAGCTCACCCATCGGAGAGCAGGTAGAACTGGCAGGACATGGGGATGCCCTCATCCGAGTGTATGGTCTGCTCCACGATGAACACTTCGGCCTGCTGGTAGCCCACCTGGATCGTCTGGAAGCCCAAGTCTTGCTGGCAGCAGCCAAAATGGGAGTGAAGGAGGAGGTGAGGTGGAGGCCCACCAAGGTCTCCCCACAATTTCACCCTGGCTCTTTCATCCATTTCACATCCTCTTACCCTGTTCACCCAGTGATAAGCAACCCTTTGCTGTCCAGACCCTCAGGCACCACAAGATTTGAGTTGTGCCCCAAGGTGATGGGGACCCCCATCATAGATAGCCAGCTGCAGCTTGCCCCTGCCTCAACCTCTCCCCATGCCTCTCGCTGACCAAGTGCTTCCAGTCTGCAGGTTACAGTGATGAGGATCAGTATTGTGGGGAGGAGTATTGGGGGAAGGGCTTTTGGGGCCAGTGGGGGTGAGGAGCTAGTGAGGCTCTGAGGAGTGGGACCAGAGACTGAGAGCAGTGGCTGCCTCAGGCCCGTGCTGCTGCTGGCAGGCTGCCCTGTTTTAATTAAAACTTAACCCCCTAAAAAAACAAAACAAAGCAAAACAAAACCTTAAACCCCTGTTACAGCTGTGGCCATGGAGAGAAAAGTGCTAACATTAAACACGTGTTTCAAAGAAAACGGGGGGCTGGCCGGATAGCTCACTTGGTTAGAGTGTGGTGTTGGTAACACCAAGGTCCAGAGTTCAAGCCCTGTTACTGGCCAGCTGCCCAAAACCCCCCACAAAAACAAACAAACAAAGAAAACAGGGAACAGCATGTGCGTCTTTCTGTCAAGCACATGGCTGTGTGTCTGTGATAGACAAGACTAGAATGTAATTTACAAAGTTGGTCAAAGAAAGACAAATCAGCCCCCGAAGTGTCTTACTCAAAATAGAGCATGTTCAAAGGTGCAGCTTTAAAATCACATAGTGCAGGAAGTCCTAGGTTTGTTGATTATGAAATTTTAGTCAAAATAAAAGAAAAAAAAGAACACACTTCAGCATTGAGAAATAATAAAATAATATTTAAGTGTAGTTGGAGATGTTGCATTTCCTGATGCTAACAAATGATGTATCTTTTTTTTTTGGTAGCTGGCCAGCCAGTGCAGGGATGGAACCCTGGACCTTGGTGTTATCAGCATGATGAATCTTTAAAAGCAGCCCTCTACTATGCTTATTTTTCCTTGATTGACTTTTGTGCAAAAAGGGTGGCTTCCCTGAACTGCTCCCATCTTCCGATCCCTCTCACTCACTCCACCTGCCCCACACTTAGTCTTCTCTCCGATAAATGAGGTTCTTGCTTTTTCCTGCCCTTGGAAGCCTCAGTCCCACCTTGCTATTTTATGTCCACCCCATGCCCTCTTCCACTCCACAGCTGTCTTTAGTCCCATCTCAGTGCCCTCCATGCCCTTCTAGTTTGCCCCCACACCAAGTCCCCTGCCCAGGGAGACCCCTCACGTAGGTGGAATAGCAGAGTTTGCCCTCAGTGTCCAAGGCCAGGAAGCGGGCATTGCTGGGCACCTTCCGCTGCCAGGCCATCACCCTCAGCAGCACCAGGTTGGCAGCCTCGGAGATGAAGCCCTCAATTGACCGCCAGGGGAAGAATGTCATTTGAGTCTTCATATCCTGTTCAGGACAGATCTGAGTCAGGGACCTCAAGCCGTGAAGTGGCGGGGAGGGTGGGCAAGCCAGGTGTTAGGCTTGTGGTCCTTGTGGAGTTGTCAGTCCAGGCTCCTGGCCCCTGCTCATGGTTCTGAAGAGGATGTGGCGTGTGACCCCTCCTGGCTCTCATCCTTACCTCACCCTCCTTGACACTTCTGGTCACGGCCAGCTGATCACCCTGCTTCAGCAGAGTTATCTTCCGCTCCATGGGAAGGATGAGGAACTATGGGCGAGAGCATACAGGGGAGGGAGGGCCAGGGACTTACAGGACCCCCCCGAGATCACCTGTCCATTCTCCTTTATAAATGAGAAAACCGAGGTTTAAAGATTTTGATTTAGGGGCCGGCCTATGGCTCACTTGGGAGAGTGTGGTGCTGACAACACCGAGTCAAGGGTTAAGTTGCCCTTACTGGTCATCTTTAAAAAAAAAAAAAACAGCAGCAACAACTCACCCCCCAAACCCCTTCCGTACATGGTAAAGCTCAAGAATAGCACTCATATTGTGGTATAATATAAAGTTAAAAGGCAGTGCCCTTGAGAACACCGGTATTAAAAGATGGGACTGGTTTCTGTGGGAAGGTTCTCAGGCACGAGTAGTTTCCAATGTGTAAACAGGTCACAGTCACATTCCAGGAGTTAACGAAGTGGCTGGCCTTGCTGTGAGGGGCACAGAACCAGAGGATTTGGAGGCCAGGTGGTGACAGGCCCCTGGGAAAGGCCAGCCCACGTGGCCCCCAGGGTGACACCGGGCTCTTAGGCTGAAGGAGGACCAGGGTGGACTGGGTTCAGAGTTTGTGTATCAGGAGAATGTCACTGCAGCAAACTGCTGCTGACCAAGTGGGTAATTTTCAAGTTGTATGGGGGTAGATTGTGGGGTAGCTGGAGAGAGAATTGGGGTGACATCCCACCGGACCCCTCCCTCTCTCCCAGTGTCACTATTTGCTCACCCTGGATTGGGGTCAAGGCTGGGGGACTAGGAGGTACCTTGATGAACTCATGACTATGTTGTTCCATGGGCTCCAATTTCCCCGAGAGGTAGCCTGGGTGCAGGGAGGCAAACACTGAAGTCACAGGAGACATGGGTCCAAGGTTGAAGGAAGGGAGGGTGGTGGCCCAGGCTGGAGGACTATGGGATGGGTCAGCATCGCTCTTGTCCTGAGTCTGTGGCTGTGAATAGCCTCCCTCCCCACCCCTCCAATCCCCCTTTGCCTCATCCTGGTGCCAAGGCAAAGTCAAGGGGTTGGTCCTGAATGAAGATCCTGGAAATGGTGGTGATGGTAGTGGGGGGACTCTGGGGGAAGGATGAGGGGTCAGGTGTCAGGCAGCAGGAACTCTACCCAGGAGGGAGTTTCCGCAGGCTGTTTTGTCCAAGAAGCCTCGGCTGAAGGCGTGCACGAGGAGGCAGCATGACCTGATGCCAGACTGGCCTTTGTATTTCCCTTTCTGCACTTCAATGCTCAGCTCTCCCTGAGGCTCCCCTGTGTCTGAGACTATGGCCAGAGTCTCAGAGAAGAGTATCTGCATATCCTCCAGCCCTGGGGGTGAGGAGCCACCAGAACAGATAAAGCCCCTGCTCATAGGCCTTAACCCTCTGACCCCTGACTACCAGTGCCCCACAGTCTCCACCTGCCCCCTCTCCCAGCTGGCCCCTGCCTCCCCTCCATTGGCATCTACAGAAGCCAGCAGGCGAAGACCGCCCCCTTCCCTGTCCCTGGGGTCTTCCCTTGAAGAATGTCAACGAATAGGCCTCAGGCCTTTTCGGAGTCCCAGGAGAATCAAGGTTAAGCAATGGGGTCCAGGCTGGGTCTTCTCTCTTCCCTCCACCCCAGACTTGCACCCTCCCCTACCCCCACCCCACCCCTACTGCGTGGGCTCACGGAGGGAGTTGAGGAAGCTGATGGCTTCAGCATTGGCCTCTGGGAGTGGCACATGCTCTGGTCCCTGGTCTGAGGGCCTGTGGCCCTTGGCTTTGAGGCCTATAGAGAGAAGAGAGGCTGAGATGGTTGACCCTGGGGAGAAGGGTCGGGGTGGGGTAGGGGTGCCCCAATCATGGATTGTGAGGGAGAAGAGGTCCCCCTTTCCAGCCCCAGCAGTCCTTTTCCCACCTTTGAAGTGAATTTTGGAGCTCATGCTGTCTGCAGCCACCCAGGTCTGTATCCAGCTGTCCCCATGGCAACTGGGAGCTAGCTACCGCCTCTTAAAGAGCCAGCAACCCACTTCACTACACCGAGACCTTGGAGGAAATTGTCTGACACTGCAGGTCCTGGGGTGCAGCCCGAGCCTGAGGTGTTGTCCAGCAGAGGGAGCGTTTGACATTCTTAAGAGGCAGAGGGAAGAAATGGGTCATTAGGATGATCGTAGAAGTTGTGACCCAGAGTCAGACATAGCCTCACCTGCACAGAATCCAATCAGATGCCATGTGAATATCTGCAAGTTGTAGTTGTCATACTTGTAACAATAATGGCGACAAAAATGACAATCATAGCAAACCCTTATTTTTTGTTTTTTGGGGGCTGGCCACAGGGGGACCCAAATCCTTGACCTTGGTGTTACAAGACTGCACTCTACAGCTGAGCTAACCAGCCAGCCCCATAGCAAGCCCTTAAACCACACTTTCTCGTGGCCAGGCACTGTTCTAAAGGGCTTTATGTAGATGATCTCATTTAATCTTTAGACTAACCCTGGGAGTAGTTACTTTTATTACCTCCATGTTATGGACAAGAAAACCGGGGTACAGAGAGGTTAAATGTCTTCCCAAGGTCACACAGCTAATAACTGGCAAAGCCAGGACTCAACCCGAGGCAGCCTGGCTCCAGAGCCTGAGCAAATTCAGAGAAAAAAGATGCAGTAAATAGATGATGCGTTGAATCCAAGCAAGTGGTGCAACAGGATGGGTAGTGATCAGAGACACAGACTTGAAGGATGATCCCCATCTTGTAAGTATTGGAGTCCATATCACAGTGGCTACAAAAAGGGGCTTAGCCTGAGGCCTCTAGCTGGTGTCACAGGAAAAAACTTGGTGCAAAACCTCCGTAATTACCCGAGGAGTTGCCCCCCTTCCTACCCATATCACTTGGGGAGAGAATCCTGAAAAAAAAAGAAAAAATAGGACAAGCCTTGAGAATCTAATTTAAATTGGGGAGTTAAATAACTCAATTTTTTTTGGCGGGGTGGTGCATAGCCAGTATGGGCATCCAAACCCGAACCTTGGTGTTACCATGCTCTAACCAACTGAGCTAACAAGCCAGCCTCTAAGTCTTTTTCCTACCACCTGGTTCAGCATTTGACCTGAGCATAGTGTTTAAGGACCATCAGTGTTAGGTCCCTACCTGCTTTCAAAGGGTACACCTGTGGCCATGGCTTTGGAGGACTAAGACCACCCCTCAACATACATGCGCTCACACGCACATGCACACACAGGGCTTTCACATTCATTTCTACAATTTCCTCTTGCTCTTTTCTTTCCTGAAACACCTGAGCCTAAGCCTGCCCACTTAGGCCTCCCTCCCTTTCTCCTTTTCTACCCCCAGAGAGAGACAGCCTGTGATCCAGGAAATGAATGGAAAAAAAAAAAAAAAAAAAAAAAAAAAAAAAAAAAAAAAAAAAAAAAAAAAAAAAAAAAAAAAAAAAAAAAAAAAAAAAAAAAAAAAAAAAAAAAAAAAAAAAAAAAAAAAAAAAAAAAAAAAAAAAAAAGAACTGCTTGCTGGTTATTTTTAAAACTATGTATTATTTAAACACCTTTGAGGCCATGTGTCCACCTCTATCTCCTCTCTAGAATTAATCACAGCACCAGGAAGCTGATGTAGCATTTTTCAAAGTGACTTCAAATGTGTTTTTTACTTTAAAAAATTTTTTTTTATTTTTTAAATGTCTTTTTCTTTTTAATCTGACCCTGTTAATAGCCTTCAATAAGTGGAATTGCTGGTGAGGGTTTATGAGTCTGCTGTCTTACATCATTCTTGGTGTCAGATCCCCTAATCTTTTGGGGACCCCCCTCCACTTTCAGTCCACTGTGGTTCATTTGTGACTGATACTGCCCTTCCAGGTGTGGTCATATGATCTGACCTGGCCAGTCAGAGAAGCCCATTCCCCTAACTCCTATGATTGGTTCAGGGTTGGGCACATGACCGAAGCTAGGCCAATGAAACCCAGTCCCTAGAATTATTGGAGCTTCTGCTAGGCTTGATGAACTAGTAGTAGCCTGTAAGGCTGGATGGAACTTCTAGACACCCCAGACTTGCACCCTCCCCACAGGGAGAAAGCCTGACAGAGAATGATACCAGTACAGAAAAAAGCAGAACTGAATGAAGAGACCCTTTGAATTCCTGGATCCAGTCATGCCTGAAGCCACCATGACATAATCCCTTATTTCTCAATTTTTTTTTTGGCAACTGGCAGGTACAGGGATCTGAACCCTTGACCTTGGTGTTATTAGGCTGCCCTCTAACCAACTGAGCTACTTCTCAATTTTATGAGCTGATAAATTCTTTTGTTTTAAGCTATTTTGTATTGAGTATTTGTCACTGCACCTAAAAGAGTTCTGACTCATTCAGGGTTGTCCTTTATATTAGAAGGTGAAGAAACTGAGGTCAGGGAAGTGACTTGCCCAAGGTCACGCAGATGCTGAATGACAGAGCTGGGAATGGAACCCAAGTCTCTAAGGCCGATGAAACCCGCTGTCCTGCAAGCAAAGAGTGATACCTTCTGTCCTGAAAGCAACATGGCATTGTTGTTACTGGTCAGTGCTAGCTCTAGGAGAGGCACATGTTCGTCATTCAGGACACATGGCCCAGTGGGGGGACCACCCAAGGCCCTGGGAAAACGATTTGCCAGTCCCAGAGAATCGTCACCAAGTGCCTCTTGATGCTGGGCATACCCGAAGTGACCTGCATAGTCCAGAATCTGGCTCTGGGGTTCATCTGCACAAGATAGCAGTGACCCAGACTCATCACAGAACACACAGAGCCATGCTTCTTCAAGAAGATGAGGACCATGGCCCATGCCCCCAACCCAAGACCAGGTGCAGCCCTGATTCAGGGCAGCTAGGGCTAATGCCCAGGTCCCTGGCCTTGGGTGAGGGGTGCCTAAGAGAGGAGGCTGAACTGTGGCCAGGGGTGGGAAAACCATGCCTTAGGCCAGTCCAAAGGAAGTGTGAAACTAAGCCAGTGCTCCCTGGTCTTCAGCCACACCAGGGCCCCCTTCAAGAGTTTTGCCATAGGGACTGGCAGGGCAGCTCACGTGGTTAGAGCACAGCCTTATAACACCAAGGTCAAGTTCCCTGCACTGGCCAGTCACCAAAAAAAAAGAAAAAAAAAATGTAGTGTGTGTGTGTGTGTATATATATATATATATATGTATATATAAAGAAAGAAAAGTTTTGCTGTAGCCAAGTGTCACCTTTACTTCATATTTTCCTATTTCAATAAATACCTTTAGTCACTTTCATTAACTGGAAATCAGTGTCACTTGTCAAAAATAAACAATGACCCCAAAGATAAATACAATGAAAACAAAACAACATTGTTAAAGCTTAACTACAGAGAGTCAGTTGGCCAACTACAGTGTGGACCTAGAGTCTTGCTTTCTTTTTAGAGAGGTGTTAAAGATAGGTTAGTGCAAGGCCGTGCCCTTGAGGTGCTATTTATTGCTGTGCTGTGACCATGAGCAACCACCCCCTGCAGCCAGTGGTCCACCTGTGCATCTCAGGCTTTGAAAAACACTGAGGTAAGCAAATTATACACCCTGAACAAACACACATGGGCCATAGAAGGAATATACTTATGGCATCGCTTCTGACCAAAGTTGTTGAACTGCAGTGATTCCAAGTTTTGGGGCCTGGAACCAAGACAAAAACAGTGAGAAAGTCCTCTGCTGTTTTTACTCACACAGCAGTAAAGACAAGCCATTGAGTGATCAAACCTTGGTTAAATCGTTCATTCATTCAACATTTATTAAGCGCCTACTGTGTGTCAGGCACCGTGCTAGGCGCAGAAATACAGAGATGCATAAGATACAGTCCATGCCCTTAAGGATTCACAGTCTAGAGGGGAAGACAAACATATAAACAAGTAAAACAGTGGGATAAGTGCCACAAGAGAAGCATTTACAAAGTGCAGAGGTAGCCTGGAAGGGAGGGGCATGGGGGTTGCGTTCCTGGAGGAGGGGGCCTTTAATGGGATCATGAGAGATGAATAGGTGTTTGCCAGGCAGACAAGGCAGGAGGAGCAGGGAAGGCATTCCAGTCGAAAGAAACAGCATTAGAGTGAGCGAAGGCACAGAGGCGTGAAACTGCATGTCCTGGGGCAGGAAACTCTTAACTAGTCTGGTAGTATCGCTAGAGTTGCTGGAGAGAGCAGCAGAGGCCGGATGATAAGGGGAAACTGAGGGCAGGGGGCATTTCGGCGGGTCACCAGAGGTGAGCAGAGCCTGAGGGAAGGCTTCAACACAGGAAGAGAAGGCTCCTGGCTGACCCAAGGTCTGCCTGCTTGAGGACCATACAGTTCCTCACTGGGGCCCCAAAGGGGCCTGGACCAAGACCAGAGGAGAGGCAGAGCTGCAGGAGGGGTGAGCAGATGGGGAAGCCAGGCCTGGGGTCCTGGCAGCTGCCGCTCTCTCAGGCCTTTGCTCCCAACTTCTGAGTTTTGCACTCTGCTGCACAGAGCCCTCCTCTCCCCAGTTGGGATGGGGCCAAGATAAAAGTCAGGGTTAAAAAATAAATCTTTAAACTGCGGGAGGAGGGGGGAGGGGAAAGAAAAAATAAACAAATAAATCTTTATTAACTAAAAGAGGAAAGGGGATTGAGGATAAAGCAAGAGAGATTAAGTTAGCAGAGGAAGGCAGGCAGAAGTTCCCAAGAATAAGGGCCAAAATGAGAAACCTGTAGTGGCCCTGGGGACTGTGCTCTTTCCTCCCTGGGAAGGAGGGGCCCTTTTGGCCCAAGTCAGGGGCAGAGGCCAGATGGCAGGACCCGGCCAGATGTGTGGTGAGAGCATGTGACCTGCAAGACTGTTGGGCTCCACGTCCCAGCCTCTGGTGCCTCCTCAGCCTGAGGTCAAGGTTTCCTCGGCCACCAGGGCCCTCCCTCTTCCAGGCTATAGGGGAGCCAGTTAGGCAGAGACTGGCCAAACAGCCACAATTCCAGCCCTTTCGGTGTTCTCAGGAATAGGTCTGTCTGAAAAATGCCTTTGCAGGGATGGGCTGGGAGCAGAGAGGCTGGGGGAGGGACAGAATCTCAGTAAACCAGAGTCTAGCCACCCCTCTGAGTGACCCCTCTTCCCAGGCACCACACTTGGGCCACTTTAGGGGGCTGAGTTTCTTCCCCGACCCCGGATGAGGAAGGGGGAAGATGGACTCAAGTTGGTCTTGGCTCCTGCTGCCCTGGGTTCCAGACAACAGAGAGGTGAGGCCTCCCGAGGGGGGAGCTAACAGCAGTATCCATGTCCTCGCTGCTGTCCCGGGAGTAGGGGAAGGGAGGAGGGGATCTTCCCAGTTAGCAGGTCTGAGATGTCCCAAGGCCTCTCCTTTCCTCTCATCCTTGGTGACTCAGCCTCCCTCTGTGGGGGTCCCCAAGCCTTGAACCAGCCCCCTTCCTCCCAGTCTCCCTCTCCTCCCCCTGACAAGCGTGGGGAAATGATGCCCACCGTGGGCGCCGATGGAGGTGGTGGTGTTAGTGTTGAGGGGGTGGCGAGGTGCGGTGATGGGTGGCCTCCCCACTGTGGGGGTGGGCTGGGCTGGGCTGGGGCGTCACTTGTTCTTGTGCATGTCCTTCAGCCGGCGGAGCTCCTCCAGGAGCTGGGCCCGGGAGCAGTCATCGTCCCCCACGGAGCCTGGGCCTGGCCCCAGAGCCTCCTGCAGTGCCAGGCAGTGGGTCCTCAGGAATGGGTTGTAGGAGCGCTCCTCTCCCAGGGTGGACGGGCACTGTGGGGACAGAGGCACCAGGTTTGATGGAGAGAAGCTGGAAAGCTGGAAAATGGACCCAACACAGGGAAGCCTGCCCCCACGCCCTCTCCTTCTGACTTGAAGGCCATGTGCCAAACAGGCAGAGCTCTGGGGAAGTGCCCACAGGCCCAGGCTCAGGCTCCTGCTAGGCCAAGTGTCCCCGGTCCCGAGCCGCACCGTGCTTTTGCGTTCCATCCGCTGCCTCTGCACCCACTGCAGCTTCCTCTCCCGGGCCAGGTTCTCGGGCTCCACCACACCTGCGAAGCCCAGGTTCTCCTCTGCGTACTCATGACCTAGCCATGGCCATGGGGGCCACGATGCAGGGCAGAGAGATCGGTCAGAAAAAGTCCTCTTACCACCAGGCCCAGGCCTACAGGTACCCGACCACCAGGGAGGAGGGTAGCGCTTCCAGGAAAACCCACCCACCCAGAGCTGCTTCCCCAACTGGGCACAAGTCAGCCATGGGTGAAGGGCAGATGCAGTTGAGGGGAAACAACCAGACACTGAGCTGGGAGGCCTCATTCTAGCCTGACTGTCACTGCCCAGTGTGGGACCTCATTCAAGTCACTCCACCTTTCTGGGCCACAATCTTCTCATATGGCAAGTGGAGAAAACAATAATGCCACTGGACAAAGATGTCACTGTGTTCCTGGTGCCTAGAACAGAGCCTGGTACATGTTAGGTGCACGTAAAGTATTTGTTGAATGGAATATATGTCCTGAGGATTAACTGAGATATATGTGAATGTTTTTATAAACTTTAAGGCAAGGGATACATACAGAGTGGTTTTACTAGTTTCTCCCCAGAGAAGCAAAGGCTATTTTCTGTTCTGGGCTCTGGCTATGAACATTAGACAACTCTCTGGGAAGCTCTGGGGCCTGCAGGGCTCCTAGGAGGCTGAGGGTTGGCTGGCAGGGGATGGTGGGGCATGAAAAGCAGAGGTGTTACAGAGCCAGTACTCCAGAATGGAGGGAGGCCAGAGCTCTGCCCCCACCCCAGAGGGGGCTCCCAGGAACCACCAGGTGTGGTGCTGTATTGCCTTTGGGCCAGGAATTGGGTTGGCCTGGTCTCCAGGGGAGTGAGGGGCTGGGAAAGCCCTCGTCCCAGGACCAGCATGGGGCTGGAGAGGTGGGGAGAAGTGGGAGGATGCCTCACCAGGCCACAGCAGGGTGTCATCCCCCAGCCCCAGCACAGTGTCCAGCGAGCTCAGCATGGTCTCTGCGGTGCCCTCAAAGGTCCGTCCTAGGTGGGGGTCAGGGGTATGATATAAGGTGCGAAGATAACACAGTATGGTATAAGGTACACAGAAGGCGTGGGGATCAGTGTGGGCAGCTCTAGCTGGCCACCAGCTCTTCAGCCATGCCCCTGCCATACCCACCCCTAGGCATCTACTCCTTCCTTCCCACTGGGAGCTGCCCAAATTGTCAACCTCCGGCCAAGCCCATTTGAGGCCTGCGTTGCACAGAGTGACATCTGAAAGGAGAGGGCTGCGGAAGCTTCAGGTGGAGCTCTCACGGCCTCGAGCTCAGCAGATGGACGGCTGCTCTTTTCCAGAGAGCGCTGCTTTGCCTGTGCTGCCCTTGGGACTCCATGCAGCCGGGGACTTGTGTCCTCGCCTACCCATCGATCACCCTCACTTAGGGCTTCTCAGTGTTTCACAACCTAGTCCCACTAGTCACTGTATCAGAGAACCAGGGTCCATCCAGTGGAAACAAATGCCCTGCAAAGTCTTTACTAAGTTACAGGATCCTGTCTTTCTGTCCATCCCCCATGGAAAGTCTTGAGGATATAAATAATCATGGTAACACAGATGGGAGTCACTGTGGAGGCAATGACTGTGCTAAAACCCATGCTTTCATGCATTACATGGGACTGTGGCTTCCCTGGCCTCTGTCCCTCCCTCCTCTCCCCACTCTTCCCTCTTTTGGGGGAACTCACCACAGCCAGAGAGGAAGAGCAGGTCTCCTGAGAAGAGGCAGGAAGGACCCTTGTAGGGCTCCCCATCCAGTAGGTAGACCAGATGGCCTTGTGTGTGGCCAGGGGTGGCCAGAGCCCGGATCTGAAGCTGTCCCACGCTGACCACATCTTGATGACACAGGGGACTGGGGGGCAAGGCAATAGGGAAGAGAAGGTACTAAAGCTTGTGCTGTGCTGATCCCTGCTCCCGTCCCAGGCCCAAGGGCTGGGTAATTTGCAGGAGGGTGGGCTTCCAGGCTAGATAGAAGGCACCCCGGTGCCCAGGGTGTCAGATCCAGACCCTTCCCCTTCCTCTTCTGGGCTATGGTTGGATCCGTTGAGGTGGGCGGTACTGGTCTTCACATGGGCTGGGATCTGCTTTCTAAGGGCCAGGAAGGGCGTCAGCAAAGATCCATCTGAAATACTTAACTGCAGTCTGGGGGTGAGGGAAAGGGCCTGCAGAAGGGCCATCCTATCCCTGGATCAGGGACTTACTGGGTGAGGTAGGGGATGCCGTCCTGAGGGCTCCCATATACCCGACAGTCCCGGTGCCGCCGGCTGAGGTCCCGGTTTCCTCCGCTGTGGTCCCTGCAGGATGGCAGAGACAGGCAGGAGGCTTGGAGGGGTGAATGCAACTGGGCCCCCCTCTTCCCCACCACAGCTCCAGGACTTTGAGCCCTGGGGCCTGTGGCTTCTGGACTGAGCCAGGTTGTCCACACCTCTAGGCCCTCATGTAAGCTGCTCCCTGCCCAGAATGTCATCCCCCCAAATTATCACACCCCCTGCCCAACAACCTCAATCTGGCCAATGCCACCTGATCTTTCTGGACTCTCTCAGCTCCAGGGTCATCATCCTCTAATTCTCCAAAGTGGATCTGATCACACCCCATCTGGTGCTCTCCACTCCTTGTACACTAGGCCAACTGCCACCTAAATGTCTGTCATTGTTATATACTTTTTTGCAGGGCTCTCTCCCTACTGAACATATAATTTCCTGATGAAGAGATCACAAGTTTTGCCCATGCCTAGTGCACAGTAGGAATCCAATACATGCCCATGGAAGGACAGATAAATGACTGCCCTGCCCTCCCCTGGGGAGGAAGCCTGGTAAGTGGAGTGGTGGGACCTACGCTTCCCCTCCATCTCTGCTGCAGCCCGAGTGACTTCATGAGGAAGGTGGGTGCCCGCCCATCCTGATCTCCTCACCCCCAGCCCAGCCATCCTCGCAGGGCCCGGCCCTGGCAAGCCCAGCAGGGCAAGGGTGGGCTAGGGAAGACTGCCTGCACCCAGCACCCCCCCACCCCAGCCCCTTACCAGTGCTTGTGGGTACAGAGGATGGCCACCAAGGTAACACCCTCCTTTTCAATGGAAGCCTGGGAAGAGAGGAGGTGCTGAGACTGGGGAGTGGGATGCAGAGGGAGACAGGGAGTAGAAAGAGCCAGGGGCGTGGGTGCTGGGAGGACAGGAGAGGAGAGCAGGGAGATGAAGGCAGGGAGAGGATGGAGCTAGAGCTAGGACGTGAGGGAGACCCACTGAGACCCAGCATGGGCATATGGTGGGGTGGAAGAGAGGAGAGGGCAGGGGGATACTTGTGGAGGAGTCGACACACAGTCACACGTTTGCACAGAGAAACAAGGAATGGGAGAGAAAGACAGAGACCCAGGTACTGACAGACAGACGTGAGAGAAGAAAGAGGGTCAGAAAGGGGGCCAAAGAGAGGGAGAGACAGCCTAGAAACTCATCACACCAGTCTTGGGCCAGCACCCCTCGCCCTCTGGCCTGCTTCCCCCTCTTGATTACCCCCTTCCGTCCAACCACACCCTAGCCACTTCCCCTCTCCCATGCTGTGTGTGTGGACATGCACAGGCATGCACACACATGGAGGGGGCACATCACATGGGCAGAGGGACCAGGGTCAGCCCCAAAGGTGCCAGTCCCCAAGGGTGACCTGAGATACCCCCTGCTCCCCAGGCTCCCCTTACCTGCACAGCCCGAGGGTCTGAAGGGTCCACAGCCACAGCCAGCCGGGCCTGGGTGTCGATGATGAGGTAGCTGTAGTTGTCCGAGAGGACGGGGATGGGAAGCACCTTCACTCCTGGGGGACAGAGATGGGCTGTGGGTGGGCTGACATGCAGGGAGCCCAGGAATTGGGGTGTGTGAAGGGGAAAAGGCAGGGACGGTGGGGGGCATGGCTTGGGGGACGCTGGCCGGGGCAGCCAGAGCTCACCGTTGAAGAGGCAGGGCTGGGTTTTGGAGTGGCCTTTGGGGTAGCGATTCCGTGCCCTGCGCAGCTGCTGTCGATAGAAGAGGTACCCGAGCCAGGTGCGGGTGTACAGGCTGTACCTGGAGGGCGGTGGTCTGCGGTCAGCCCCTGCCCCAGCTCCCCACCCCCGTCGTGATGCCTGCAGGCCCCACATCTCCACTCACGTGGCCACCCCGAGTCCACACAATTTCACCAGCACTTACTGTGTGCCTAATGTTTGCCCTGCTCAGTACTCAGGACAGGATGGAGAGCAACACAGACACAGCCAGAACTCCCCAGTCTTGTCAGGGGAGATGTGAGCGAGGAATTCACAGAAGAGACTCAGAGAGTAAGGGGTTTCATGTCGCCCAGGGTGAACCCCCCCGATGAAGTGACATTTGTGGTGAAGGCAGAGTAGGAGTGATGAGGCTGATATGAGGTAGAACAGGAGCTCGGGAAGGGCAGTGGAGGTCAATCGTGAGCACGCATTGCAGTCACCCACAGGACTTGTTAAAGACAGATCCTGGGGCCCCATTCGGTAGCTTCCAATTCGGTAGATCTGGGGTGGGGCCCCGGAATTTGCACTTCTAACAAATTCCAGGTGATGCTGCTGCCTCTGGTCCCAGGACCACAACTTTGAGAACCACTGGGGTAGAGGAAACAGTAGGTAGAGGCCCAGAGGTGGCAGACAGCAGGGCTTATTTGGGGCAACTAGAAAGTTCTATTTGGCTGCTCGATAGGAGGCAGCCAAAGGTGAGGCTGGATAGGCTAACCACACCCCTCCCCTCCTGCCATCATTCCAGCCATCCCAGGCTCACCAGTGAAAAGGGGGTGCAGGAAACAGAGGGGACCTGCAAGTGACAGAGTCCTCCAAATACAGAATGCCAGTATGCAGAGCTGGCTTCATAGCTGTGCGACCTGTGCAGTCACGTAGGGCCCCACACTTACAAGGGTCCACTTGGTTTACTGTTGCCATCTTGAAATTCTTTTTTTTTTTTTTTTTTTTAAAAAGATGACCGGTAAGGGGATCTTAACCCTTGACTTGGTATTGTCAGCACCACGCTCAGCCAGTGAGCGAACCGGCCATCCCTATGTGGGATCCGAACCTGGGGCCTTGGTGTTATCAGCACCGCACTCTCCCGAGTGAGCCACGGGCCGGCCCAGCCATCTTGAAATTCTTAATAACCATCTCCGACTTTGTGTTTTATAAGTGGAGTCTGATGGGACAGTGGAACATGCACGTGAGCAGAGGAGACACACAGTATGAGTGTGCTCTGTTCCTCGCCACCCATCCACATACCGCATTTGTAATGCCCCATGAGCACAGAATTCTGGAGACTGCTATGCATGGGAATTCAACAAGACCCTGAGTGAGTACAATACAAGGTAAGTGCACAGCATGAGAGGGGGGAACAGGCTAAGCTTTCACTTCAAAGTAGAATTTGCTTCAAATGCATAAAGGCGGCAGTGGTATTCTAAGAAACAAAAATGACCAAGGAACCCTACCACATCCTTTCTAACTCTCGTTGCTTCCCTGTATTATGCACCCATTTATGCTGCAAATGATGATACAGAAGGGGAGAGAAAGACAGAGTAACTGATCCATGCTTTTCCTTTCAGTCCTTCCTTACTCCTTGGGAAGCTGACAGTGCTCATAGTCCGTGTGTGTGTTAAGAAGTGAAAAAACAAGGTCCAGGGTTTGATCCCTGTTTCTGGCCAGCCACCAAAACTTTCTTTAAAAAAAGTGAAAAAGGCCCCGGGTTCGGATCCCATATAGGGATGGCCGGTTAGCTCACTGGCTGAGCGTGGTGCTGACAACACCAAGTCAAGGGTTAAGATCCCCTTACCGGTCATCTTTTAAAAAAAAAATAAATAAATAAAAAATAAAAATAAATAAATAAATAAATAAAGTGAAAAAAAACCCAGTTGGGTTGGTTTTGCCAGGCATTTCCATTGTTCGGATGAGAACAAATTAGATATCCATGTACAAACCAAGAAATAGGAATTGTGTAGTTTTAGTGATAACACGAGTTAAATGTTCTTATACTTGCATGTAAAACTGGCATTGCACAATATAAATATGAATAAAATTCCTGCTAGTAATTTAAATTTTTAACTTTTCTTCACTTAGAATGACATTAAATAGCAAATTAAAAATATCATGACAAGTCAAAAGAGAGACTGTAGAAGAAAGGAAAAGCTTCATATTTAAGTGCCTTTAATGTCAATTTTTCCTGCTTTTTGAGCAAGAGAGCCAAACTTCATTCTACACTGGGCCCTACAATTATGTAGCCAGCCCTCTCAGCATGGGAATGAGCTGTCTCTGGCCCTTGCTCACAGGAGGGATTCTGGATAATTAAGCCTGAGACAGAAAAGTCAGTTGGGGGTGGTGGTGGAAGACAGATCCCACCCTAAATCTCTACAGGGATTCACTGTGTGTATGTCAGGGGAAGAGGAGGGGAGGGGGACAGGGACAGCTGCTCTTCAGGCCCCTTAGCAAAGAGCAAGCTGATTTGTCTGCAAACAGTTTCATCAAAAACAAGGAGGTTTCCGTGACAATTTGGTAGAAATGAGTTAGGTGAAGTTTAATCATTGTACTCTCTGCTCTGTGTGCCCATGTGCTTGTACTTATTGGTAATTTGAGCACACCAAGGAGGGGCTGTGTCATCTTCTACGTATCGTTTGTTCATTTTCCACAGGCCCTCTGCTGTGGATTGGATGTCACTCCAAAACTCATTGTAACTTGATCCCCACTGTAACCGTGTTAAGAGGGTAGGAAATCCGATTATAGTATTTGAAATGGGGCTTTTAAGATGTGACTGGGGCTGGCCTGTGGCTCGCTTGGGAGAGTGCAGTGCTGATAACACCAAGGCCACGGGTTCAGTTTAAAAAAAAAAATAAAAAAGATGTGATTGGATAGTAAGGACTATGCCCACATGAATGGATTAATTCCTTCATGGAGTAACGGGTTAGTGGTTTAATGGGTTACCATGGGTGTAGACTAGTGACTTTATAAGGAAAGCACATGAAATATTTTGACACTCCCACCATGTATACCCTGCTTGCCCTGGGACTCTGTACAGAGCCCCCACCAAGAAGAAGGCCCACACCAGATATGTTCCCTGGACCACAGACCTCCCAGCCTCCAAAACTAAGAAATAAATTTCATTTACTTACAAGTTACCCAGTTTTAGGTATTCTGCTACAAGCGGCGGAAAACAGACTAATATACCTGGGGTTTTTTTTGTTTTATTTCTAAATCAGTTCAGCCACTTCATGCTTTCGCTTCTTCAACAGTATTTATTGAGTCCTTGCTCTTGGCCAGGCACTGAGCACACAGTGAGCAAGACAATGGTCATTGCCCTCTTGAAGCTTACATCTTGTGGGAGACACAGGACGATAAATAACTCGTCAAGTGACGATGACAAACACAGACTGGGCAGAACGATAGAGAATAACAGGAGCTGCTATTTTAGGTACAGTAGACAGGGAAGGCCTAGCTGAGGAGGTGACACTTCCAGGAAGTAAAGGCAGGCCATGTGAGAATCTGGGAAAGGCTCACCAAGCAGAAGGAACGAAGGCAAGTGCAAAAGCACTTATAGGGCCACTGCTGTATATGCAGTCCAATGTCAACTGAAACGTTATGCAGCTCATGACTGTAGCATATGGACTTTGCTGGTTTTTTTGTGGGGAGGGTGGCTGGCCAGTCTGGGGATCCAAACTCTTGACCTTGGTGTAATAACACCATGTTCTAACCAACTGGCTAGTGGACAACCTAGACTTTGTTTTTCAAGAAAAATAAAAAAATATTTGCTTGCATCTACACGGAAAAGACCCTGGAAAAGATAATGAGTTTTTGAGTGTTTGGTTCTCAGCTGTGAAAATATCAATGATCCTGTATTAGTGTGTTTTTGTTGCTTATAACAAAATACATGGAACTTGGTAACTTATAAAGAAAAATGAAATTGAGGGCCAGCCTGTGGCTCACTTGGGAGAGCGTGGTGCTGACACCACCAAGTCAAGGGTTAAGATCCCCTTATTTGTCATCTTTAAAAAAAAAAAAGAAAAAAGAAAAATGAAATTGATTTGCTTACGGTTTCTGAGGCTAGGGCTAGGAAGTCCAAAGTCTATCTGGTGGTGGTGACAGTACTCAGGGGTCTCAAATTGCAAGATGGTGGAAGCAGAGAGAGAACGTGACAGACTCTCCTCTTCTTTTAAAGCCCTCAGAACCACACCCCTGACCACCATTTTTAATCCATTCACTACTGCATGGTCCTACAATCCAATCACCTCTTTAAGGCTCCACCTTTCAACTACCATAATAGGATTTCCCACCCTCTTAACAGTCACAGTAGGGGCTAAGTTTCTAAAATTGTATCCCCTAAAAACTTAGGGGATACAATTCAAGCTTAGAGAGTTTTAGGGGGACATAATTCAATCCACTACAGATGCTTAATGGTTCTTTTACTCATCTGAATATTCTGATTATTCGGTAGTGACCATGCAATGCTTTTGTACTCAGAGAGAAGGAGAGAGAGAGAGACAGAGAGAGAGAGAGAGAGAGCTTGAGAGGGAGAGAAAAGAAAGAGAAAGAAAGACATACTTGGGCCGGCCCGTGGCTCACTCAGGAGAGTGCGGTGCTGATAACACCAAGGCCCCGGGTTCGGATCCCACATAGGGATGGCCGGTTCGCTCACTGGCTGAGCATGGTGATGACAACACCAAGTCAAGGGTTAAGATCCCCTTACCGGTCATCTTTTAAAAAAAAAAAAAAAAAAAAGACATGCTAAAGAAATCCTGTGGTTCAGGAATAAGATTATTTTCACCACCACCACTACCACCACCACCAAAAAAAAAAAAAAAAAAATTCAGGCTGTCCAGTTGGCTCACCTGGCTAGAATGTGGGGCTTGATAACACCAAGGTCAAGGGTTGTGATCCTGGTACTGGCCAGCCACCTTGAGGAGAGGGTCATTTTCTTCCTCACTCACTCCCTCAACAAGTATTTACTGAGGCCTGGCAGCACGGAGGCGCTGTAGATATGGTGACTAAAATAAACTAGGTTGCTAGCCTCCTGGCACATCCATTCTATTGTAGTGGGAA